TGTGATTTTACACGGCTCAATTCAAGCTGCATCTATGCAAAGGTATTGCTGCTTATAACAATTTTTGCTTCCGCATCTGCTTAACAGACAATTATTAATTCGTAGTATGGTCCGGCAAGGACAATTTTTCCGGTAGCTTTGACCAGTGCTACATCATTCATTTGTCAGCTTTCTGGCGATCCTGACACTCGTTTCATATTCTGATGAGACTATCAGCTCTGCGTTTTTCCGGATGGAAGCATTTATTCTGTGCCAAAAATAGCAAGATTTTACCCATCGTACCGCAACTTTGCTTAATCTGTTATGATTCATACACTACGATAAGCGAGTCCATATGCAAATTAGGGGGAGGAGGCAAAGGAGGGGGAGGGGGAAGGGGGAGGGCGATGAGGCTCTCGCTTTCCGCAGCAGCACAGGTAGCAGTGCCAAAGCTGAAGAAAACCTTCTCCCACACTCCCCCTCCCCCCGCCTTCTGCCGTCTATCCCTCTCCTCGATCTTCACCGCACCAATAAGCTCACTTTTTCCTCTCCCTCCCCCTTCCCCTTCCCCCAGGAGGACGCCTAGATTTGCCTTTAAACGGGTCGAATTTTGTTGATAGATTATAAGTCGTATTCTGTAAAATACCTGTTTTTAAGCACTTTTACCAATCAAACAAACGCTTATCATTCTTGTCATTTTTCGATATGCTATTGTTCATTTTATATTTTTTATCGCCTTACTGAATAAAAACTGTTAAAATCTCCTGAACTAATCTAGGTTTCTATGGAAAATTCATTAAAAAACTAAATTGTTTCAGGGGTTTTAACAGTTTTTGTTCATTAAGTGTCAGGATTGAGAGGCTGTAATAGCCTATATTCTTTTCATGTGATAAAAGTTTGGTCTTCTGATTGCAGTTATCGTACGTATTCGATAATCCATTGACTGTTGTATTTGCTGCCTTTATGAGCATATTTGCGACATTGTTCCTGGAAGGTTGGAAAAGGTATCATGCCGAAGTAGCCTGGAAATGGGGCTTGCTTGATTTTGAAGTTGATGAGGTCTTTTTTTTCATAAATTTTTTCCCCTTCCATTTTTTAAATTTTCAAGCATCGTTTTTTTGAATATCTTTATCTATAATAAAAAATTAACAGAACACTGTTTTAGAATTTCTGCGCGCTTCAGGTTTTTTTTGCGAATTAGATCAGATGGATAAAATTTTGGATTTTACTGCAGGAGACGGTACGGCCTGAATATCAGCTTCGTGTTAAATATGCAAAAACAAAACGCATCAATCCGATCACGCAGCAGCTCGAGCCGTATTTGCCACTTCGAATTAAGTTTCTTCGCTTTCTCGGATCCGGTGTCACCGTTTTGTTTTTCGTAAGTCTGAATTTTTTCCTTGCAAATTAATTGTTGATGTTGTTACATCCGCCCAACCATACGCACATGCTGTATGTTAGAAACTTCAGAATGCAATAAACATTATTTAAGAAACAAAATAATTGGCCAGCGCACCGACTGCCGATGCGAAGATGCGTTTTTTGCATAGCTCCCCGCAAGTTTTTGTCGCTAACGGCATTGTTTTTTCCGGCAGATACTTTTAGCTAAAAGAATTGAGACTGGCGGGCTGGACTGTCAGGAAACATCCCTTTAAAATTCCAGTCTTCTAGCATTCCAAGTTCCCGAGTTAGCAACTTACTCGGAAGAAACTTTTGCAGGCAGTTATATGGGAACCAGACATTCCCCGGGAATTGAATTTGAAATCTTTAATTTCTACGTGGACGAGGAGCATCCCCTTGAAATTTTAGCCATCTAGCTTTTCTGGTTTCTGAGTCAGCAGTTTGCTCACCAAAAAGTTTGGTGGACCCGTACGTGGGTACCACGCGGGTGTCCATTTTGGAGATGGGGCTTGTGCATAATGTAGATTAAGTACCCAAAGTTTCAGCCTTGTGCTTTTGTAGGTCTCAAGATGAAAAATCGGTGCAGACGAACAAACAAACACACACACAGACAACCTCTCGACAGTATGCATTTTTGCATCGCATAGATGCAAAAAACGCTTTAAAAAAAAAAAAACAAAACCGGAAAAAGTGATGTTTTGACATGAAGCACGTTACTGTTGTCATCACTTAGTACACAACTCTTATCAGTAGCAGTCATTCATTTTATATCATGAAAGCGAGGGAGAAGGGGAACTCGAATCTCAAGGCGAAACATTTGTGTGTAGTACATGGGAATGCCGTGCAGCTCAAGCAAGGCTGAGGGGATTGGCCTTCTTCATTCCTTACTCGTATCTGCCACTTATTTCTTTTTTTTTCAATAAAGTTGAAGTAAGGTGTACATCGTTATTTACATATACCTTTTGTCGGACTACAACAGGAAATGGGCTTTTTCTGCATAATTCTCAAAATGAAAACCCCTCCATCCCCGTCCTGGATGGAAGGCTGAGGCATTCAGAATTGGCCAAATGATAGTATTTACCGAGTAGCAACCATCTACTGGCAAGATGGCTTCTTCTTTTCGAGTTTGTTTAGAAGCTAGTTGGTATAGCGGGGGCAGGGATAGAGAAGGAGAGGGGGGG